ACCAGAAGTATCGCTACCTAGGGTTAGCTAAAGACAGGGTTTTGCCGGCATAAATGATTCATTTGAAATACGCGTAAAGTGAATGTCGGCGGACTAATGCTGCGATTCTATTTATATTGTCAGCCAATGATTTAGGAAAAAGATTTTAAACTTCTTACGGCGCTGCCTTCCAGTAGCCTTCTCTTGGGGGAGGAGAAGCAGTAGAAAGTGCACAACGCCTCACTTAAACAGCGGGAACAACGAGCAACTCGACTACCGCACTTATACCTAAACGCCATAACACAAAATACATTGATCAATCTATTTTATTAAAGTAGCAAAACGACTACCTAGAAGTTAACTGAAGAAAACTGTTTGGTGGTAGAATAGGACTGACTTGCTGATCAGAGACAGTTGGATCTCCATACTTCGATATAGCGATTCGTGGAAAATTCACCCGAAAAATCACATTAGTTACCGCTTTATGCAATTAAAGCAGCCATGTGATTTCTGTAAGGTCTAATATTGTACCTGAATTTTTGCTTTATTTACATGCGAACAATGAGCTTCAGAGAATGATAATCAAAATGTAAATAATTTTTGTGAAGGTGAACTGTAATTGTGTGCTTTTCTGAGATGCTTGCCTGATTCTAATGTAACAGTCTCTTCCAGTGGGTTGTTGACCCACTACCGGTATACATCAACAAAACAACCCATTCCCACAAAAACGCTTATAATTCTCGTGCACTCGCTTGCTTGCATACGACGTGCTATGCAAATGGCTGTGATATTTTTCCCTAGTGATACCCTCGTGCCTAGCTAGTTTATATGGTTAGAGATTTTATCCGTATAAAGCGCAGCAATTTCTATTTGTACTCATAATTTCTTTGGACAATATTATGTGACGTCGACATTGAAAAAAAAAAAAAAAGCGATGACGTCCCATGCTGGCCTCTTGAAGTTTTCGCAGTGTTGTGAACATTGCGTTGGTATTAGTTACCGAGATCTCTTTATATATTGAACACTAGTAATGATTTTTCAAAAGGCATTTTTATTTTCATAGGGACGAACGAATCGTAAATGATTTTGCTCAAATGGTTTGCGTAAATTTCTTGTGCCCCCAGTTATTAAATTGCGTTTCGTAGGATTGTTGTTGTTAATAACTTATGTGACTGGGGACTTCCTCTTCAAGCATACTTTTCGTTGAATAAAAAAGAAAATGTATTTATTTTCTTTTTATTAAACGAGTATTTTTATGCCAGTTGTGTAAATTGTGGAAAGATGTTTTAGAATGTGTTAACGGTCGTAAAGGACACTTGCGCAAAGTTTAAACCATACAGCTGGTCGATACTCGGAACAATTAAGCTAATTTAGCTGGTTTGTTTGGAAGCAGACAGGAATCTTGTTATGAGCCCGATCGATATTCGATACAAACTGATGTTGTATAATATATCTTTCATTTAGTTCGATACCGATTGTGTTTGGGCGTTCTTGTTAGCATCTGGCGTGCGTAGACATCCTCCGTTAACAATATTAGCACTAATTAAATTTGAATGTGGTGAATAGTTGAGCATGCTCGCTTCAGTGATGCCGCCTAAGGTGAAACGGAAACGAAGGCACCAGGCTCGAGACGAAAAACATTTTCTATTTCTATTATTAACCTGATCTGAAAAAAAAAATTCAAGGAATTGTAATTCGTTGCCTGAAGGTAAAGGTAAACGTCAGCATTAATTAAATGATATAGATACATCTGGTTTATTGGCCGGGTATCGTATCTGGTTTTTTTTAACTTACAGTCAAGAGTGGGGCGTAATGACTATTTTTCGCGAGGAAGCTTACGGTGAATACTATAAAGCTAGCTAAAAAAAAAATTTCCTTTAACTATTGTACCTAATTTATTTCTATTTCGTCCATGAGCTTAAAACTCGATACGCCTTAGTACATTAGTATGTCCTTAATGCGCATCAGTAATTTTAATTTAGTACTAAGACGATATACAACTTGAACGTAAATAGTGTTTTTAACGTTTAAGCGGATTTCGCCTTTTTGCCCTCGTACGCCTTAGAATTGTCGCTCTTTTTTTTACACAAGAAACCGCAAGCTTACGAATATTGTGCTGCTGCCTCATTGTTGTTACAAACCACGCACAATGTACGTTTCTTTGATAAGTGAATAAATAGAAATGGGAAGAACTATCACCAAAAAACGCTGAAAGAACGAGGTCGAGTTCGTCTGCTTCATGACAGCCCTGGCTGTGATATCCTAAATATTCGTGAGCCGAAAAGCTACGAGAGATTCGACGAACGAATGATGGTTAGAAGAAAACTCCATGAGGAGGAACATCAAAAACCATTTGAATATAGTATTATCTAAAAATGCAATATGATTATACTACGTAATGTTGCAAACTAAATTCTTTAAAAGGCCATGGCTATTGCTCTATTTTCACAGTATTCTCAGGGCAGCTTCTACGTAGTCTGCTAATATTTTAAATCATCAGGACAGTGATTTAATGGTATTGTCTTAGACCTGAAGATCATATACTAAAAAAAAAAACCAGTTAGTCTTACTTTCTCTGTCGCCTGAATTTTAAATGCTATATGTATAGGCCACAGAGAAGTGCAAATCCAAAACTGTGAGAAGTGTGTATATCGTTTATGGTCCGAAAGTCCGAAAGAAATATAAAAAATGGTATCATGTTTTCTGACTCTATTTCTGAGAATTTAGACTTATTTTAATAATTTTTTTTTTTATATACAATATTGAACTACAAGATTGAGTGAATAAAGGTTTATTCTGTTAGAATCCGCTAAGCCATTTCCAAGTTAGAAAACTACCAAGCCTTTCTTTTTTAGAAGTAATTAAAAGGACAATTTGGAAAACATAAAACTCTTCTTCGAGCGGTCAAATCCGAGCACCTGTTCAGATACCCTTGACAACTAGCTGAAAAAAACGTTGGAAAACACCTGCTATCACATAAAAAAACTACAAGTGTCAAATAGAAAAAGATGCTTCAGGAGGACAGTACAATTAAGTGCTACTCCAATAATCTTAATTTATATTTTGTACAGAAGTTAGGCCTTTGCTATGACTCCGATACTGTTTAAGGCAGCTCGACATGAGTAAGCCGTAAAAATCTAGGAAAGCTTTTACGACTACTGCTACGACCACTTACATCGTCTCATAAATGAGAGGATAAGCTCGCATAGACTGATGCCCACCTATCCTCTCAGGATAACAACATAATGGAATAACGAGACAAACAACAAGTCGCTAACTGTTTTTTTTTTTACCACTTTTGTACTGCGTCGAGCGAGCAAGGTGTTTTTTTTTTTTATAGAAACGCATGTACTCATATACCCCATCGGCAGAAGCAGTAGCGACGCCTTTCCATTAGAAATTTCGATACTAACTGTCTCACTCGTTAGCCGGAGGTCAATGCATCGTACTTTTTTGCCTTTAACATTGATTTGACCTATGCTAGTTATTCCTAAACGAAAAACGGCGGGTCATCGCGTAATTCATGCAGCAAAAAACAAAACAGATATGTACATTCACGGCAGTATATCAGTAATCACCAGCTTGCACTGACACGGTTGGTATTTCCATAAAAAGGGAAGAATGGGCATAATAGAAACACAATTGGGCTCAAAAAGGACAGGTTGTTTGTTTCTAGATTTTTAAGATTCCTTATGTACACAAGGTCGTTTGCTTTGCCCACAACTAGAACAATGCGACTTCAACGAATTTGACTGCATTCTAAATTGGAAGAACCGGTTGAGCTCTGTCTGGTTTTAGTAACACGCTAAACCCTTCTATTAGTTCATATACGAAACACAATTTTGCGACGATAGTTGACCGTTTATGAATCCTCTAGTGCGTTGGTGAAGCGAATGAGAGAGAAAGGTCGCCTTGTACTCCCTAGAACAAATTCGACACTTTGATACATTGAGATGTTTATTTATGTGCCGTATAATAACCTGTTAATAGTCTTATGATGAAAATAGCCGCGGCGTATGATCCTTAGAGTGTCCATTTACGAAAAAAAAAAAAAAAAAAAAAAAAAAAAAAGCCTGTCCTCGCTATAGCTTGGACGATTGAAGAAGGCCGAAAGTTGGTGTGATAGTTTATTTTCACATAGTCTATTATATATACACGCAAGTAAAACAAATGAAAATAAAATGAAGATAGAAGAAGGTTTTGTTTTTTTAAGTTCATATGCACCTGAAGCGCTTACTTTTATTGCATATGAAAAAAGTTAATTCAACTCAGTAAGACAATTTATGACAGAAATTCGAACTCATTTAAATAAGATGTAAATTGAATAATTATATGAAAAAGGTGTAAATATTTTTAGCCGTTATAAGTAGTCGTTACGATGTTGTATTAACATATATAATGATGTTATAACATTATATATTATATAATTTTATAATGATAGTAAAGAATGCTTTGTGCAATTGATTGGTGCAGGTTTTACTATTATTATTTACGGAAACCTAAATGCCATTAAAACTGCAGTTCTGTAGGTTCCGAAAATTAAGTTTGTATTATATTAACCCAAAAGAAAATTTGATAGCTATCTGAATCGTTTAATTTTTCTCGTCTAATCTTTCTAATCGTTAATCTGAAATTAAATTACAAAAAAACTTTTTGTTCTTGAGGCTACTAAATGGCCGTGCGTGATTGACAAAGTAGCCGCAAAAAAATTTGCAACGGAGTATTGTAACTGTGCATTCCCGGTTACCATACTCATTTAACATATCGGCGCGCAAAATTTGAATTTTTTTTTATTAGGATTGCAATATTCCTGTTCTTAAATCGTATAATATTTCTGTAGGATGGTCCCCACTATTTGTTATTAAGCTAATTTGTACAAACTTTTTAGGTTAGATTAAATGGCCGTGTAGTAGACTTTTCTTGTGCTTTTATGTAGATTAAATAGTGCGTTATGCTTAAATAAGTAGCGATAACGATTTCGCTTATTAATAACAAAGAAAATTGTGACTCCCGGTGTGAAGTTGCTATTCATACCAGCGTATTGCCCGCTGTGATCATCAATGCCCACAGCTGTGATCACCCTGTCATCGTAGTCGTTCCCGTAGTCATCAATATCATCGTCGTGTGCGAGCGCTTCGAGTGTTACTATTTATCCTTCCGGTCCGCCATGAACCTCAAAACGTCTGGCTGTGCTTCCGTCTGGGCATGTCTAGTGGTGGCGACAGCGGTGTTTTCCGCCCTGGCGTGTGCTGCAGGTGCACAACCTTCTCCAGGAAGACAACAGCAACTACAGCTGCAGGTAACCGAACTAGCACAAATAGGCGTTTTGGGTCTCATGAAACTTCGTAATAGTAAGTACAAATTAATTGTACGATTTAAAAAAGTAACGGACGTTCTCCGTCGAGTGAGTCAAAATCAGGACTTTGAGTACCATTTTACTAATTTAATCGTTTTCGAAGACAATAAGGCATTTTTCTTTGGAAAATAATTTCCACAAAATGGGTTCTGCCTGAAAGGTCCCTTCTTAAATTCTTGGATCGTATAATATAATGATGCCATGATGTCAGATCAAAGCAGATCATGGCACGTTGCTTGAGCATTAACCAAACTATTTTAAATAAGTAATACAAATTCTTTGTCATGTGCGGAAAGCATTTATATGATTTGGATAACTGTAAAGTCTTCTTTCTACCTCGATAACGCAGATCGTGCTTAAGGTTCCTTAACGTAAAATTCTCACCTTTTCACGAGGCCGATCTTTTTTTTCAGATCTAAAGAGTCCAATGAGCTTGGCAATTGCTTGCAAAAAGATAGCAAGGTAGAAAAGATAAATTCTGCGTACTCATATTATAAACACACAGCGACTGACGGCAATAGAACGTACCCACAGTAAACAATTCGAGAACCGTATAAGGTTCGCGTGACGGATAGAAGTGGGTATTCTGAGTTCCATCTTCAGCCACTACATTGCTGAGGCTATTTAACTGTACAACAACAATCTCTGAATCGATTAGATACTCCAGATATTTTAATAATAGATATAATATTTTTCCGAGAATACTACCACGAAAGAAGAACGCATTCTTCCGTGTCGATTAGGATGTTAAGTAAGTCATCGTTTGCCTATATAAAATTCTTATGGCCTGTCGCTCTGATTCTAATAGTGAGTAAAACTACTATAATTATCTGGGATTTGTAATGAACTGGTGAATATAAGACCAATGTTACAGGTTTATTTCTGTCAATTTTTAACGTCTAAAAGCTGCAAGTTAATTTAGCAATTCCTATTGCGGTCTGTTTGTGGTACCTACAAAAACTCCGCTTTTAATGGTACTCGTATTCGAAGCGGCAGCAACAACATCAGACGTAACTAAATAACTAGACGACGAAGATATAGTCAATGTATGTGTGAAGAAAGTACGTGCACGTGCACCAGTGACGTGCCTGATCATCTTCTACAGCTATCACCATGACATGTAGGAGATGAGGGTTGGGTAGGTATTAATTGGTAAACTACAGTTTGTACTTCTATAAAACCATTTTATACTTTATACTTCGAATATTATGTCCGGTATTGCCATTTGGCATTCCATCAGACGGCTGGCTATCAGCATGAAACAAAATCTGTCTATATCTGGGTTTGAACTAGGACTACAGCGTGTGCTGTAAATTAGAAGGCAAATTCGTTATCCACTAAGCTAAGGGGGCAAACCGTTCTACCCTAGAGAACCTTAGCAATTCTTGGAGATCCATGTCTGTGTTTTACTTGTTTTCTTTATGCACTCTTTCAGAGGTTTCTTATAGCACGCTCACAACTCACTTGATTTCATTTTCATAATTCTTTTTCCATTGGAGCTATTTTTTTGAGCGCTGGCAAATATAATAGTTAAAAGCTTCTTTCGGCTCTGCTTGGTGGCAGTGATCAGTAATAAAACTATTCAAATAATGTTTTATCGGATTTAGCTACCGCAGAAGAGCTAAAGTGCTTTAGCCCGGTGAAGCTGCACCTTCTGCAAACTAAAAAGTGACGTATCAATAACGATTTCTTTTGAAGGCTCAGTATGCATATAATTTATCACTGCCTGTTCTTCACTCCTCTGTCGCTTGAGCCCTGAAGGCGTAATTGTTTATATGAATGGAAGTGACTACACGAATACACCGCCAAACCTTTGACACTCTTTGTAGCCTTCTTTCTTTTTTTAAGTGGCGAGCGTTTTCATGGCTACCTAGTGTCACTGCTTGGTATTTACTATGACTCTATAAAGTATGCACCATTGTTTTTAACAGCGGTACCCGCTTGCTCCACATTTTCCTTTGTACCTAGCTTTGAAAGCTACCTCGCCGCCAGGAAAATCTTAGGTTTAATCATATGCTGGACTAGAAGAGACTCTGCTTTCTGCCGGTGTCTTCTTCGATATTGTTTCTTTTTTCAGTATTCTCATAACGTCCATCACACATTTTCCGGGGCCGCAGTCAAGCTCTCCTTATTTTGGAATAATAAATGGAAATCTTAGTGCTTTTTCCAATTTCCTTTCCTTGACGAACAGTGTGCAGTATTCTACTATACATGAGTCGTACCGTCGCGTGCGTTAGCGCGTCATATGTGACGCATGAGTTATTTGGCGCCTTTCTTATCTTTTTTTATTTTTATTTAGCACTTTCGGTTATCCTCTTTGTGTGAATAAGCCCTCGAGGTCATCAATTTTAGACATTACATTAAGGAGTTCTTTTCACTGGGGATTTTTCTCATTTTAAATATGAAAGTATTCTTGGAAACATCCACGATCAGTAATAATTTGCGTACAGGGACATATCATTTCTCTTATGCTCATCACGTACTGATCATTTATTCTTTGGTATCAACTTTGTAATTTACACAGCGGCCCTTGTTGTGCTCGACCACTTCTGTTTTTGTCTAGATGTGAGTACAATGCAACGAGTTTGCCAAGAGCTTGTTCGCTACCGAACGTTTAAGCTGAGAAATATTCCAGTTATTGAATTAATGTTATTTGAGCAAGATTAGTGAATATAAGACGAACCCGCAGGCATGGCCTTACGGCTGCCTTACGTTGCTAACTCGTTTCCTCTGTTCGTGTTACATCCGGCCTTATGTCAACGATAGTATATAGTTACACTTATCCCGGTGTGGTAACCTTAACCCGTTTCCTTTTGCCAGCCTGTTTTAATATGAACGGACACTTTTTGTCTTATATTTAAACAAAGCTTTCAACTGGCATTTATTGCAAGTCTGTTCAAAACCCTGTTGGAACTCATTTTTGTCCCGAAAAAAAATCGACAAAAATTAATCGCAGTTTTGGCCATTTTAATACTGAGGTATCAAGACAAGTATTACTTTTATTTAGCTTGCCGAGATATATTGATTGAAAGCAAACATATCTTCCCTCTATAAGACACCGTAGTAAGTTTTTATCCTTAGAACAGCTTAAGCGTTCAACTTCGGACTGAGGTATAGTTATATGAACATACATTGCGTTTCGATCTAGTTCATCAAGAGCTTGCGATTATATGTCCATACCGTCTGTATGCACAAAGAGGTGCGGAAAATTCCCACTTCAGTGTCATGCCTGCTTCAGCTTCTATTTTTACGCAGCAACGTTTTAGGTCATTTTAAGCGTAGGAAGCTGTACTGCATTTGTACTTTGAAAGCTATCAATTGGTGGTAAAAACTGGGCCCAAGCTTGCACAGAAGAAGTGTTTTCATTATTCCGGTGTCAATCGCAGAAAACATTTGCGACAAACAATATATCATAAGTAAGATGTTCGCCAAATCGGACACTGCAACGTTATAGATGGCAGTCATCAAATATTCAATTAAAAAAAGTTCTCTTGAAACAGATTTGGCTCCGTTGCCACACAGGGCAAATAAATACCACTTTTGGTTTTTGCATTTTCATGCCAAAATTCGCATTTTAGGTTTCTTTTTTTAACTCCGCCCGTCAAGATCTATCGATTGTGAGCAAAAATATTCCTGTCTACATAAAACAACATGCTACTTAATCTTCACATTTCAAATGGCATTTGGGCATATGAGCATGTCTAGCGTTGTTTCGATTTAGCCCGTCGAAAGCCCTTATAAGAACGGCCGGGAGAGAGTATAAAGAACGGCCTTCTTCCCTGTATAGACTTTTATATAGAGATTTGATTACCATTCGGCCAGCAATGATAAAGTTAAAACCTATTTTAATATGAAGAAAAAATGTCATCAGCAATTCCGCAAAAAGTCCCACTTATGAGAAAAAGAAGAAACTGCCTTCCGCCTACCCCCGGAAAAAAGATTGGCCATTTCAAAAAATAAACTTAGGTGATTTATATTTCATCATTTATGAACCATTTGAGTAAATTTACATTCGAAAAAAGTGAAAAATCGGAAATGTTCTATTAAATCCAATTTTGCATTTTCTCACTGAGAACAACAAACAATTTCTCAACGTTAATGATTAACGGTTAACCCATTTATTTGCCCAACTTACCCGACTTACGAAAAGTGTCCATCAAATCGGCTCCATCTTACAGGCAGTTAAACTTCTTTAATCAAAAGATAACTTAGGATAGTAGCCAGATATCCTAACTGCTATAATATAATAACTCGTTTTGCAATATATAATAGATTCAACACGACATTGTTCATTTGTTAATAATATCAATGCGGACAATGCTGGTGGCCACTTCGATATTTCTAAACTGAAACAGCGTTGTTTAAAAACACGGAAAGTAAGAAAGAAGTTGCTGGCCAGCTAAACTAGCATCGCGCTCTATATAAAAAAAAAAACAGTACTTCACCTAATGTCTCATGATTTAGTATTCGTCGAAGGTAGCAGTGGGTAGCACTAGATTGGTATATCGGGACTAGTTGAAGCCTCGCTCAAACATATCGTGTACAAATATTCAGATCAAGACTGGTAAGCCTATCGCAAGTCTTCGTAAGAAGTCCAAATTTCCAGGAAGATTTTTATTTTGAATTAGACGATCCTTTGAAACTCCCATTTTTACTATGAAACGCAAGATCTCCGCTCACCAGGTATCACTCTATGCTATCTCTCAAATCAAGCAGGAATGGCAGCTTATCAAACAGTCGAATAAGTGTCTGCGGTTTTATCCATATTGCTGGTGGTGAGGCCAGTATTTGGTGCTAATCTTGTACGAATCGCGTGTTTGAATCTCGATACCAGCGGAAAGACGGATATTCTTACAAAGAAAACGATTATGGGAAGCTCTCGTGAACATCCCAAATTTGTTGAAAGGGAATTTCCTTGCAATATCTAATGAAGAACCGATGAAAGCGAGTCAAATCGAGTAGGTCATATAAGCCACGCTATTAAAGGCACAGGTACAGATGGTGCAGAGGCTTAAAGTCGGAATGACGGCCATGGGCCTAGACTACACTCGAGGAAGTGAAAACCTTATGTTATACTGGCTAGGTAAGTAGTGTTTTGGAAGCTAAACAGGCGATGTCCTAGTTTTTTACATACATCGTCTGTCGTTATTCCTTGAATTGCAAAAAGTCCCCTCGAGTTGACACTTCTCAAACGATTAGATTCTAGGACTCGCGGCACGTCCGTTAACAAATAGAAAGCATGCTATTTCACAAACTGACATGCCTGACGTATCTAATTAGTAAACTGTTGTTTTTTGACTACAGGACGAACTTCGCTATAGAACGGATAAACTAAGAGTAAGTAACATGGCTATACGAAAATTTAATAGAAACTAAACAGAAATATTTATATTTTTCATTAATAGCTTAAGCATAAACAGATGCCTACAAAGTCGAAAAGCAATGTATCGTTTTTTTTATTACCGGCTATCACTCTTAACTTTGTCATAACCCGATGATCAGAGCCTTTCAGTAGTTTTTAAAACAGGGATTTTTTAGAGACTGGCACAACCGATTGTTTAAATAGGGCTTATGTTAAAGCAAGAGCACCCTGAGGCAGAGTATAATGTTGTTGTTGTTAAGCTGATTAGAACATCCAATGGTTTACTGCAGTATTATTATAAACCTTAAAGAATTACATGGTTTATTCAAGCAGAGACTTTTTTTTTATTCGCTGCTTTAAAGTTCGCATTCGACTATGTGGGTAACATAAACTTATTTCGTGTGTTGTAATATTCTCTAATTTAATGAACTATTTTAGGAACTTTTGGGTAGGCCCATTGTAGAACTGGGTGTGTCTGGTGGACCAGTTGGCCTACAGAAGCGACCATTCTGTAATGCCTTCACGGGATGTGCCGGTAAGCGCGCGCCGTTTGCCCTACCAAGCAGCGATAAGCAACGCCTTCGTTTCTTCCGGAAGTTCAACACCATCGATAATTTGGTACGTCGTCCGGAACGACGACATGTAGAGTACAGGCTCGATTTGACGTCACCTTGCACTGAATCAATTTTTTCTCCTCCTGCTTTGGCTGCTCTTGAAGGCTCTTTATTATTTCTAATTATTTTTGACTAAACTTCACCGTACAGAGAACAAATGATACGATGTATAATTAGGTCGGCCTTTTCTTTGAACAACAATAAAACTATAATAAATGATAGGCTATTCATACGCAGTTACAGCAAGTTAAAATAAGTTCGAATGATGTCGCTTCTAACACACCATTAATGTAACCAGCTTGTAAATAATAGCTATTTTGTTTATGTAGTACCCCTTCTTAGCTGTTATAGCTTAGACGGTTAATGCAAGCCTGTGACAATCAATGCACGTAAATTACGTTACTAGGAAAAGGGTTTGTCCAGTTTCAGGTTCGTTGAATTTAGTGACGATAATTGAACGAAAGCAAATCGTAGTTAGCTTAGGGCTATTCGACCTGTCACAACCTAACTTATAGTTATAAGTTTCTGCATGTATGTGATAGTATGTTTTGAAAAACATGGCGCAGGATTCGGACGAATACGTGGTCGATAATACGAACTACGACCGCGAAATAATCCAGGAGTAGACGCCACACAAGCTCATCAAATGGCGGAATCAACAAAAAGATACGAATTTTGCCGGAAATGTAAGTAAATAATACGAATAATGTAAGCGGAGGAAAGCTACTTTAGAGCGTCAAAGTGCCGGGCGGACAATTAGCGTTTGTGTTACCTGACCTTGAGTAATCTGCTCACCCTCGTCCCCCTCAACCCTCGTCTTTAGAGAAATAGATGACGAACATTTTATATTTTACAAATTGTACTAAAGGGAGAACAAGGGTTGCATGATCGTCATATAGTATCAAGTATGACGTTGTAGAACTAATATTGTAAAATAAATGATCCTCAATTATGATGACGGATGGTTCGCCAAGAGCCTATTAGTTGAATGAAAAATCAGAAAAGGCACAGTAAACTCTTACGGAGTTTTAGGTACTTCGAATTTCATAGGTACTGAATATATATATTTGTATATACTAATAACATCTATCAGACGCCTGGCTACCGGTTGCTAACGTTCGACGGGATTACGGGGTTAAATAGCGGCAATGTTTTTGGTATATTATTTCAGCTTCGACTGTTTTAGAATTGTAGTATATATAATAATAAATGTTCAAATGATGTCTTCCTAGCGAAACTAGTCACAAAATTTAAAGCTTTAGGTTTCATCATCTGAAAAAAATGGAAGGTTGCGACAAATTTATTTGATCGATGAGTTTTACTTTCAAGCGCTGCTATCCCTTGCATATTATTTAGTGGTTGTCGTAAGAAGTAATACTAGAACTTTACTGGTGACTTTTAACCTCAGACATATAATTTAGTTTTATTAAATATCGATTTTGATTTAAATATAATAAAATACAGATGATCAACAGGCCACAATGCATTAAATAAATTATGTTACAATCGTTATCAATAATTTATCAAAATTTTGTGGGCCGTCGATTTTGTGTATCATTTGCATATACTTTTGGGTGATAGGACAATTTCAGTGATACGGTCAACGCTATCAGTTACGTTCTGGTATAATTCAATTGGACCGTCCATTCATTGATTTTTTCAAAAGAAATTTTATCCACATACAGAGTCTCCCTACAATGTCGCGATCAGCTAGACCGAACCTTCCAGTATATCCAGAGTGTCCTCGTTCGTATGAGAGTTTCTGAACGAGTTGATAGGAAACGAGAAAGTGACTAACTTAAGCCAATAAAAAGGATGTATTTAGGTATACAAAAGTGGAGCTAGTAGAACGGAATACGTATAAGGATGCTTCTAAGGTGCAAATGTCAATTCTGGAAAAGTCGAATAAATACTAGCATATTGGCAATACTGGGAGGGAACTCCAAATCGGGAACGGTAACCCGTAAATTTATTATGTAGAGTTAAGAGAAACGAGGACCACGTGCATCGAGGTAATCAGAATACTTTTATGACCTAGAAAAAATTGTTGTTATGTGTTAGTCACTATGAAGTAAACAACGAGAAGCCCAACTTTTTTTTTTTAAATATATATATAAAATGTATAAAACCGGACACATCAACGCACGTCTATATAATGGTGTTATTTACTACTGCTCGGTTTTCAGATATTACGCTAACGGAGCAGTAGATTCAATCTACTTCCAAGGCCATGTTTACTCTTTTACATTTATTCTACCAGTAAGGACAATGTGCTAAAGATGAGGCAAATTTAACCAAATAGCCTAAATGAGCTGATATAATATCTGTATCTCTGTGTCATCTTTGGAACAAAAATTAATGTGTCTTAGATCATAGGGTTCAGCCTAGAATTATGACATCACTAAGCAACGGGCTGTTCAAACGATGTACCTTGATGAATCACACACACCGTACACTTATCTACACATCGTACACTTACATTACCTACAAATATACACAACGTTGGGGGCGTCAAATGGGTCGAAGTATAGCAAACGCGTTAATCAACATCTTATGTAAATATTTATGTCAAATTTAAAAAAAGATTGAAATAAAGAATATCAAATTAGTATTTTTTTTATACCCTAATGCCTTCTATTTCTTAAGATATTTGAAGCTCTATGCGGGTTCAGGGTCATAGCTTTGCATCTGCTTATTTTGTGGCTCTCTAGATATTCGGTGGAAGGGTGATGTCTATTTAGAAGACGACAATAAACTTGCTTCACTTTGTGAAACAACATCCTCTTTGCTGACATGTGCCTTTGAAAAACGTATATATATACACATAGCTAAGATAATAATTATCTGTTTTGGTGGGATTCAAATAGATGTTGATCAATATTGTATGATGTAGTATCTCTAAACTAGGAATTCTCTACTTTGCTTGCAGGACTCCAGGACAGGAACTGTCATTGAAAGAATGACGTGAAGCTACAACATAAAAAACGTGGTAACTTCGTTACTCCACAACAAGCTTATAGAGCAACGTGACAAAAACACAGTAACCATAATATGTGGATATTGGAAAAATATATTAGACATATTACTGACCTATGTACATTTTTATCAAAAAGATCAATAAGACAGAGGAAAAACGCCAAACTCTTAAGAGGTAAGCACTTTTGCGCAAAAAATGTATAAGAAGATTCTACTTGGAAGATAATTGTTGATTTCTCTGCGTATTTTTGTAGATAAACTGAGCCAGATAAATACCACTGCTCCTTCCTTATTCGTTTATGCTGTAACTATATGTGTCTCTGGAAAACGAAGCTGTGTATTTTACCCTAATATCGGTCGCAATGATTTTATGAATAAATACGCAATGCTCGATCTGTTGACAATATACGAACGTAATGCACAGTGTATTAGTTTTTGTCTTAATATTCCACTAACGACCCATACATATAAATTTCTAGTGTAAACGACGAAGAGGTCAAGTCGTACGATATTGGCTTCTAGTTTTTCTTAGCGTATATATAGAGAACACTCTTAACGAAGCTAATATCACTTTTACCCCGTACGAGGGCACAAAACAAAAAACGGCTCGATGCTCTTCTGATGCTACGTCAGTGTGCAGAAGGTTTAAGTAGGCATCATTCAAAAATCCAGAACGTTGAACGTGTACTCGTATTTGAAGGAAGGCTGCCTTTCTTGTCCCTTCTGTTTCATAGACAATGTAGGTAATCCGTTGCGTTAGAAAAGGTGGACACGAAGCCGATCGTATGTATGAGTAAGAAGCAGCGGTGGAGGTTCGACCCATTAAACGCTGTTTCATTCAAGTTACGGCGGTTCTAGGTACGCACAGAAGATTCTGTCGAACGCAGGATTATGGTGAGAGATCAACGGTATTTGTCAGCTTTATAAAAGGATCAGATAAAAATATGGAAGAGATTTCGTTTCCTCTGACTATGTTGATAGCACAGCTTTCGGCTGTCAGCGACAACAACTTACTAGTGCTGAAGTGTGCATGGTATGATGACGTCCTACGAAAAACAATCTAAAGAAACCTCTAATAGTCGTTACGTAACATTAAAAAGCAAAATGGAGATTGAACAAAGCACGATATATTTCGATTAGGTGTGAACATACGATGATATTAACGTCTATAGTTATTATTACAATGATGTTTACTAGCGTGGTGTATGGCGATATGTATAGAGATACTCGTGAATCTACCAATTTGCCGCAGAGAAAAACGAGACGTTCTGAGGGAGGCAAAATGCTAGCGACATTATTTACAAATCGAATGGATACGAATACAAGACCGTTTCTTGGCTTCATGCCATTCAGATAGCGTTACCGAGATTACATGAACATAAGGCCATACTTTATAATTGGCATCTCTACGCTGAAGTGTTAGACACGACCGTATATGCGTTACCCTTTTTATTATTACCTTTACTCAACGTAAAAACGTATCACAGTGACACGAAGCTATGCGGTACAATAGATGCCGTTGATCACGATGAGGCGTAACATCAGCAATCGCCACTAAGTCATATGACGCCTCTAGATACATTTACTTACAATTACTATACTAATTAAATAGTAGCTACAGTACTAAACCTGTGGAAAAAAGACGTCGAAATACAGCAGGGCTATAGAGCAAGCCCAAAATATTACTAACAATAGCATACATCCAAGAAGCAATGAAAGCGCATCATTAAAGCTTTCCTAACTTCGAATGTCTTTCTCGCGTTCCAGCGAGGACGAAAGCATGGTCGAAAGGTCGACGGAAATCAAGCGCTATAAGGAAGGAAGGTGGATTCAAGAATGGCAGACTTGAAGCAAAAGAAACGAAAGGTTTAAGGTAACAAACGAAAAAAAAAGCATGAGGAGAACACATAATATTCATATCGAAAAAGCCGAAAGTCACCGCCACATGAACAAAACGGGAAAGAAGCTGTAAGCAGATACAGGGTTCGATGGGATAACTAGCACAGGTCGAAATACATTCACATCAACACATGCGCTACTTTTATAGAACGGGTATTCCTCTGCTGTTACTTCCTGCGACACCGATTCTTGGGCCCTATATTCCTGATACGCAAAGGCGAATTTGCGGAAAGCCCTGAACCTTAGAGCATAGAAAACACACCTATATGCAGTACGCAGCTTCTGTGCACCGAGAGCGAAAAAAACGGGACGGGAAACCTATATTTCATAGGCATCATGTAACAAAATACATTGACGTTTCAGCTAGAGCCAGTAAGCGCTGAAGCTAAACACACTCTACCCACACTTCAGTTCTATCCAATCCAGTTTGAGAACAAAAAAACTATACCACCCCTGTCGTGGAAAGTACTCGGAGATGCAAGGGGCAAAGAAAGTTAACAGGTTAAGAAGCGGCAGGGGTAGCGATAAGGGCGGTTAAAATTGTAAAGGAGGAACTGATAAAAAAAAAAACCTTAAAAAAGCAGCTTACAGAAGTGTAATGGAGGAAACAGCATTGGTGACAACCTGAAAAACAAGGAACACATGTTGTGCAAATGGTGTAATAAATTTGCAATAACAATATTAATGTGAAATACTTCTGTTTTTTTTTTTTGTCAATTTAACTAGAATACATAGCTGCTGTGTACATTTTTGAGTGCATACACCGTCTATTTAGTTTAATGAACGCGACGAGAATAAAGAAGGTAGTGAACCTGATCGGTGCTGACCACTAAATACAATTCAGGACAATATTTTTGTTTAGTCAGTAAGGCGATATTTAATAAATAAATAAAATAAGATAAAGAAAATTGCTAGATCATAGATTTGACACTGGAATAGAAATGCGTCAGGTAAAATGACCACAGAACAAACTGCTGCTCAGCTTGCTGATGTACATGAACAGCATAAAATAAGGATCCTTGTATTAAAAATAGGTAAATACCTTTAAGGCCCTTTAGTAAAGAAAGAGATTACACACCGCCCAAATCATATGCGTCAGTAAGACGTTTTAGTGATTCGAAAGGAAAGCACTGTTCACAGAAATCGTGACCTCAGCGAGCCTTTGCACGTAAATGTACTATCCTGTTTAATCTAAAAGCTATATTTAAGGCTACGTACATCTAAAGCATTCGTGCCATTTATTTTATTAGGATTTTTGACCCCTCAGAACCTCATACTGAACCGCTATCTATTAGTTGCATAGCTTTTTCTAATTACGTATTTTATCAAGCTGTCGCTCTAGAGTAGGTAATTGAAGTAAATATAATGCGTCTAAGAAAAGTAAACATAAAATATAAACTACGTATACTAACGTTTTCCCTGGTAGTTCTTAAAAAGAAGACTTGCCGCAGCAATTATACATGTAGAGATTGTTTACAAAATCATCATTATGCCTCCTGCCGTTTTTAATTATAAATATTGTCTTCAATATTTATATCACCTTCAACCATATTTGAATGTTTACTTTCGCTTATATATCGTTATCGGTATCTTTTTATACTGTACGCACCAGGTGGCATTACCTCAGAGTATTTAAAGGATCCACAACAGATATGTTCCCAGCAAGGTAACGTAGAAACAACAGAAAGTGAGCAGACTTTGATGTTTGCCAGGCGTCTTATGCTTAGTCTGTCGATTTTATCTCCAGCACGAAACCGCTAACACAGCGAAGGTATGAGAGCTCCACGTAAAGTGATTATGGGTATAAACGTAGCTGAGATCTGTCTACTGTAAACACGTCGTCGTAGTCTGACGACATTTTCACTATTTCTTAGTAAAGAATTATTTAGGATCAACCATAGCAACATTTGTTTACCATTACAACCTTATTTCTTTGAAGACCTGGCTACATCAAGCATTATTTAGAGACAGATTCCAAAACGAAATGTTTTATACCCCAATATGTGGTAGCCTCTCAACGCACCAGGAAGAAAATTTGACTATAAGTGCAGAATACAACAATTTTAAACGCTTCCTACATAGAGTAACCAAGTGTTTGAAAGGAAAGCCTTTTACTTCTGGAAAGTTGATAAGGACATATATCGTTAGTACTACTTTAGTAAGGCTAACTTATCCACATCTTAGCACATCTGTAAGCGAGACCACACAACATGGATAATCATGTGTTTCAAAAATTTTTTTTTAACTTTTACAAACTATAGCAAAAAAATGGGTGAATGAAATAGAAATTAATGTCATAACAATTATCAATACATCCATAGATTTTTTCTGCAATTAGAAGAACTTAACGAAATGATCCATTCAGGTAAAATTTGATTTAAAGGGAAAGTGATGATATGCAGAATGTGGCACTTAAATTGAGACTGAGTTTGCCACAACGAGTATGGATTCTTATGTATGAGTATGTATTTTTCTTTGGATAGAACAAAAGCTGGTCGCTTTCACAATAAAACAAAAAACTTACCATTGCTAATAACAGCGCGTAATTTTCAAAGCATAAGCGAAAGGCAGCTGTTTGCTAATTTTTACGCGCTAAGCGAACTTTCACCGAAACTATGGAACCCTTGTGTTACCCCAAATAGACTCACAAATAAGCATGCGGGTGCAGCAAAAGCAGAAACAGATTGCAGCATAACGGAAAATCCACGACGGAGAAAGAACAGTACGGATTTAGTAACTACCGCCTAAAAGTGTAGTTCTAAAAATCGTTTTTTTCCGATCAGGATTGATCGATCAGGGTTGTTCATAAAGACCTCAAATACACGTCGTTTACCATAAGCATCAGAGAAATACGCTCTGAAGACGATACAATTAAAAGATCTCACCGGGATTGTCCGTCTTTTACCTTAGATGCAATAATGAACCATAGAAATCGTCGCTGGCTAACCCACTATCCAGAGGATATGCTGATTATGGCAAAGAGTAAATTTTTCCGCCAAAGTGCAGGAGAACCGGCGAAAGGAGAAAACATCATTAAAGAAGGTTATCTACATGTTTTAGAAACTGTTGTGTCAGAAAGAAACTGCACTGCTTAAGCGAGTCCGTTAGTGCTGTTTGAAAAGATGAAATGCTCAGGAATGGCCACATGTATTAACCCGTCGGATACCATATATAAAGCATCATTTGGCGATCGTCGACAAGCCGCGACAGGACAACGTTGATTTGCTTAATCGCGGTGGCAGGAAGGCGTTCACGCACAAGGGAACATTTGAAATCAGTGTGTCAGTCATTGAAGACCCGAACTGAAAATGTAAGCTCGATGAATGGTGATTTTATTAAATGAATATGACTATCAGGAGTGACACACACTTTTAACACATAAACAAGTTCGTCAGATATAGTCTTAAAAACAGAGCGTATAAAAAAATACTATTTCTACACGTAATCCGCAAGTATGACGTAATCATATGACGTAATCATTTCATCAAAGCAAATTTCTGTATGGAACTAAGGACTCTTTTGTAATGGATAGTTTACTTCGAACAACATTGCTATATACTCGAGATAGCGTGCCCGAGGCTTCTACGCGCTGTCCAATTGTCAATTGTCCTATTACGCTTTAAGAAGACAGATCATTGAAGCCCCCTTTGCGAAGATGCGAACCCCGTACTAACCGTCCTTTTTCTCCCTAAATTGTCGTCATTATGTATTTCAGCGTCAATCAACGTTAATTATTATTTGTCCAAAATACTTTACAACGCGTTCATCTATCGTGAACGTATTATAATTCATGTATCTATTTTAGTGCACCGCGTAGTAAATATCTGACGAACGCGTTCAGTTGGATCAACCTGAAGTCTAGTTTTAGAGAGACCTTTTCTGTACGGAGCCTGCAATGATCGATGGATGATCGTTTTTACCACTTTTATGGCTGGTCTTGAATGATTTTTTTCCAGATCAACCTTCCTTTGTACTCAACTGTGGGCACACCCTTGACCCACATGTACACATATATGAATAATGAATATGTACAAGATTCCATATTTGCAGTTAGAGTCGCGCGTGGTCTGATCAAAGGAGCAAATGTAGAGGAAGCAATCCAAGAGGAAGGCTGAACCTAGATATGTAGAGTGAATGTCGGGTGGTACACGATGGCAAAAGACACCGCACTATATGACGAAGTTCAGTTCTCTACTAGCCTAGTAAATCGGATTCCCTTCTTACTTTCTTCCTTTTTAACGACTACGCTAGTTATCTTCTTCTGTAGTGCTACAAATGTTTTATTTTGAAAATGGATCTATATATATATAGACACATATTAATGTAAGCTGCAAGTACCGTTTGGGATCTCAAACAATTGTTCAGCCCGATCTGTCGTCACATAGTAATATTGATAGAAACAATCATCACTGTTACTGCCAAGCGATGCATGACCAAAACGCTAACTTAAACGTCCACATCTATTTCATGACAATTGATTTGTGGAAGGCGCACTTTACGACCATTTACAGATACAAATGGGCAAATATTCTACGGCTTCTAGCCATTCGAAAACAATAGCATAGCTATATTTCATTGATAGAGATTTAAAATGGAGCCACTGAGGGTAGCAGTTTCTGTCTATCGTATACTGTTTCCTTTTAAACAACTATGCAAGTCTAATGTACCCCCATTGAACTTATGTCCCAGCACTGGCGTTAAGCATTGTTTGCCGATATGCTTTCACAACGATTTTATTGGTCCGGATGGCCAATTGCAGTAAAAACGGAGGCAGCCTTATACCTACTTAGGACTGCTTTACATTTAGGATGAATGATTTCGAGAGACACTTCGGTCGCGTTTCTTGTTTACACAGGAGTGCACTGACTAAGAAGAAGCTTCACAAGTGCACAAAGCGCATAGAAAGATGAGCGATACGTAGATTATACGCGCTCTAAATTCTATTTATACATTCCGCATCCATTGCGAAAGAACAGGGAGGACAGTGGCGTAGAGCGTTCTCGATGAACATCGCTAAGCCTTATGTTATCCTTCCCAACATTTATACTCCAATGCGCAGATGTACGTACCTTTGTTGTCTTTACTAAACACTAAGCGGTACCTGCAGTTAGGAGAAGGCCGCAGAGGTTCCCTGAAGCTCCATTAACCTGATAGAAACTTTAATATGGATCCGCTTCAAAGACTTCCGAGATTCTTGCGCAAGATCCGATGGCTTGGTAGAAACTATTTCGAATATGGCACCGGATAAACAATAATGTAGAGGGTAAAACCGTAATCAAGCAAAGAACACATAATTACAGTAAACAGATAGTTTCGAAAAAATCAAGTTCGTTTCCTGTTCGTCCTGTCACTGCGGCAGCTTCAATAACTTTTAAGTGGAAATAATTTACCACTAGTAGACAATGCTAGTTACTGACCTACTGCAGATTTTATCGATACGAAGACTGTCGAACTGTAACACACAGATTCGCCGGAAAGTTGCCAAATTAAGCCATGCCGCTGTTGTCATATTTCAAAACTAAAATAATACACTTTAGGTTTTTCCAACAAACCTATCAAACGGCCATACAAATAGCTATAGACCTATAAAATACTTTATGTCCATTAGCTTCTTATCTTTCATCCTAGCTTGTTTTCCTAGTTATAACTTCTGCCAACGCTGAGATGTGGATAAGTGTGACAACATGCCCAATAGTTGTGGTTATCCTAACAACACACTTAAAGGGACGCGCATGCAGATATGGGCGAAACTTTGCTGAAACTTGCTCGAGAGCTTTAATAAAACTTTCGAAAAATGTACATTATCCTTCTCTCATTCGAAATTTCTATTTAGTGCACGAACATTTATCTAATTTTTACACTTACCTTTGACAACGGATATAATACGTTTTTCTGCTACCCGTTCTTCGCTACAAGCTCAACTATCTTTGGGGTAATAAGCTACAAATATTTGCTTGTGTTTACTATCACATGGGTCGATCTACAAATTGAAAATGGATTGACACATTGCCTTATATCTCCCTTCTAACCACGGATACGAACATATAAACTTTGGAATATTTTATCTATAATAATAATATTTGCCCGAGAGACCAGTATTCTTTTTTGACAAAGGGAAACAGATATAAGAGAACTGATAGTAGGTTTCTATCTCGTACACGTTAAGCAAACACAGATATGTATTATTCACTAGAGATTATGATAAGTATTGGCAGTCGACTGTAGCTTAACGTGAACTACTTAGAAAGCGTCTGTTTGCACCCTATATAATTTTCCCACTTACTCCCCTATCGCTTGTGTTGGCACCTGTCCAACACACGGAAGCAGCCATTATGCTGCTATAAATTGGCTTTACCAGACTCACGTCTGTTAAACTTTTCCTGGTGATTCAAACCATGATTTTCAGGTACTAGATGTTGTTACGATCGTTACCTGCTTGCCAGGTGAGGTGAGTGCCTGTGTTATTTCGTACAAAGAGGCAAAAATCCGATGTCAAGGAACGTATGCGTAGAAATGGTTATCTTTGAGTGGGACGACTTGATGAGGTGAGATCTGTGCTTAGAAAAATGTGAGACTGTTTTGTCTTCAAGATGATCATAATTGATATGACAAGATGGCTGTACATAAGCTTATTCACTGGTGTAAAATATCATATCCGCTATTTGAGAAAGGTATTCGTCAGTGATGCTTTGTAAAAACTTGAAGATTATTAATTTTCGGATAGTCCATTCAATCGATAGAACCTATCACCGACCATAATAGTGCAGATCTCATATGTAGATCCTTTACTGCTAAACAACTAAACACATTTTGAGGTAGGTTGGTTATATATTGTTATATCTATATATATATATATATATATAGATATAGATAATATCTTATCTAAAAAACGCTATAGATAATAAAAAAAATGAGCATGTCCTTTTTAGCAGACGTGGATACGTACCATTTCACTGCTTGCTATTGGTCAATCATGTTTATTGAGGGCGGAGAAGCTATCAGTGACGCGTACGTTTATTTCCCTTTGGTTGTTATGGTTCATTTGTCATTCCGTAGACCGCTAGTGTTGGACCCTACCTCAATTAAGAGACCGGAAAGCCTCCCCATTGCGAGCGGTACATCTTCATCATTTCCTAATGTGAGAGACTGCTATAATCAGTTCGTACCTTAATTGCGCCGTAGTTAGAATATAGAGTGATATTTAAAGGACGCAAAAATCGAGGAATATCGTTAATATTCCTAGAATACCTTAGTTTAGGTTTTGAGTTTAGCAAATACACATGGGATAGTATTTCGCCATTGCAGAGATTTTGCAGACGTCCATCGCAAAATGCTCAATAAATGATCATCAATCACATGTATCGTTATATCGAATCAAAATTTTGCGATACCTTAGTTCTACAGTTCGGATTATATACCTGTAATTTTTAGACGCATTGGAACGGGGTTCGTCTCAAACGATTCTGCGCTACTTCATATAGCTTGGAGGCTGAGAGCAAAGCTATTTTATTTTAAATAACCCTACAGCGAACGTCTAATAGGTTATTTTTCTAATCCACGCACAAAATGACGGTACCTCTTCTACTTTGCTAGTGCAAAATTCTAAATAGCAGCATCTGGCTTTTCGACACTGTGAAACAACACCAAACTTTAATCGTATACACTTCTCTAGTACTCCGTAGATACTTCTCCTATTCTGTCTCAGCTACGTGTGCGTTTAGGGTAAATGATCTCAGCGTTCCATGCTGCTTCATAGTTGTCGACCAGAATAAAATCTGGAATGAAACTCAAAGCAGGAAACACAACTTATGAATTGATGTTGCTTGAGATACTAAAGAAGACTACTGCTGTGCCTGTAAATGTTTGATGAATGCGAACAGGCTTTCATGTGTGCTTATGTAGACAAGATCAACAACAATCACGCGTCCCCTGAGACTTCCTCTTAAGACTCAAACCCTCTTAAGCTGTGGTACTACGATCTGTGTAGGACGCGCTGATATGGCATGACACGACACGACACACCTACAAAATACGTTGAGTATGTCTCTTTTGATTTTTTTCAGAAAAAAAGGTTTGTTTAACCAGCTAAGCAGCGACAACATGCGTCGAGCTTGGGCAGTAAATTACCAGCTAAAATGTGACTCATAGACATACAAAAGAGTTCAACATCTAGAGGCAATAGAAAACTAGGGACGAAAATAGTTCGCTTGGAGAACAATAGGAAAGTCAGTTGAGCAAAAAAGAAAAACTACTCAATTGCTCTTTGTAGGATTCGATCCCACCAAACGATACTATTACGCATGATCATAATTATACCATGCAGAACAAAAAGCATAGCGTGCTTCCAGTTAGCGCACCTACGTTATGCCGAACCACAACAACACAAGTTAAAAACCTAAGCGCTAGCTAAAGCTTTCCACAATTGTATTTTTATACTAAGAAATGTGTGAAGGAAGTAGCGTGAGCTACATGGACATGTTGTTGCTTGAGATACCCCGCACGTATTTTCTCTACTTATTTACACTAGTCGTCAGATATCTTTTTTTTACCTAACCATGTCTGGGACGATGTAATAGAGATTAATAGAGTATCTAAAGGTTCTGAGACACGCGTTTATCAGGTAGTATGTCCAACTGATAGAATTTTTTCCTGTTAACACAAAGGCAATGTTCTAGTTATCGTCATGCTCTGTGCTTGGATCCGTGCACACCTTGAACTTTTTATCGAAAACAACACTTCCGATATTGACTCGCAGCTCCTACGAAGAATTTTACTAAACGACGAAATTTTACCTCTCCGAAACGGCTTTCCTGCTTCTTGTATACGTTGAAAGCTTTTATGGTAGACTTAGACCAGATCGAGTATTCAAACGTCACATGTTCCGACAATAATTCTTAAAGAAGCCTAACTTATCTAATTCGCAGACTTGTTGTTATAAGCCAGGAAAACAATCACGTTTAACAGGCTTCATCGGAACCTTGTTGTAATGAAGGAAAAGGTGTTGAGTTGAGGGCGATGCTTTCTATATGAAGAAAGTTTTGCTGGAAAAATTCATTTGTTTTGCCGTTTGTCCAAACGTTGGTGCCCGAACGTATCTCCCTTATTATTCCACCGGAAAAAAGGTGGACCTGATGCGTGCGCCTCATATTAGGATCGTTAACAGAAGGTTTTTTAGAGAGAAACATTTGTCTCATCTATTCGTCTTTGAAGGGCAGATCGCAGTTTAACTTGAAGAAAAACATTCAGAAAAATACTTGCTTGTACGGTTTAGACGAAGTTCAGTGTAATAATGGAAATTACAACTGCATTAATTTAATAATTTACGATACATTAATAGCTAGAAACAAAGTTATCTTCTTCAATTTATTGAAGCTTCCATTCAAACTAATCAGTAAAAACAATAAACATTAAAATAAGCAGTAAAAGAACAACAAATCCGCTGCAAATGACTAATCTCCTCCTAATAGGGGCAACAATTTGACTAGTGTAGTTGGCACTCATTAGATTTATATGCATTTAGGATCCTCGTTTATTTAAAACTCTCGCTCCTAACACCACCTCAATAAAAATCGCAGGACCTTTTTCTATTTCAAGTAACCTCCTAGTGGATATCCACTATATCATCCTGTTTCAGGACAAGAACTATTTCCATGTTAGTTGAGTGGAATATCTTCCTGATATTCGTTAGTTCCTGAATTCGGTCATTAAGCGTATTACTACCAAATAGGACCAAAAATATTATGATTTTACCGTTTCGATGCTCTGATTCCAAGCAAATTAAGCGTACCCGTTCGTAAGCGTATACAACTCCCAACATTAAATTTTGCCTGTCCTGAAAAGGATTTGTGTGGTATCGGGTATGTTTCCAAATTATACTCATTAGAAAGGTCGACTAGCTGCAATTACTGACCATAGTTGCAGATAAACTTAATGTAAATTAAATGCAGTTTCTGTTACAGATATTTTCAGTGTCGGTTCATTGCAAGCCTAAAAGGGTAATTTTAATATCGTGCTTACATTCCCGCTAAAATGGTTGGTTGATTCTAAGTTTTAAAAAATATTTGCCAAACTAGATCTCCCATAAGGTTTAAAGAACTAAAGAATACATTTACATGCATGTTTCGCACGTATACATATTTAAGGGCAGCCATTAATACTAAGGACGAAGCGGTTCTTTGCATTATATGATCACCGGTTGTTGATATCATCGATCCCTGTTTCAATTTCTCTGTAAAAACATCTAGGCGGATTCAGCAGTAAAATGCCTTTAATAAACGAGGAGAACTTCGTGTTTCTCGTTTGAATAAACTATGTGATTGTTTCGCTCTGTGCTACCTATATACATGTCCTAAAATGTTTCACTATAAAGCCTATCTAAACAACAATTTCGTATGAGAAATACTTCAAGAAAAATTACTCTTCGTAAAACATGGTCGATGATAGCAAACATTTAGGAGACACCAACCGCTTATGGTTGTTACTAATCTAGTTATTTTTAAGTCGATATAACTGGGTATTTCAAGAGGAAATATTGATTTTCGAAAGTATATGCAGGTAAATAGAAGGATTTGTTTGCAGTCAAATGAAAATAAATTTGTAATTAAACAGGAAATAGCCTACAAAAAACTGCTATTTGACCTTATTATAAATCCTTTTCCCGCCCTGTGTTTTTCTCATTTTAAACAGACGTACGAAGAAAGTCCCTTGCTTATAGAAAAAATTAATCCCTTAACGATCTAGAGGCAGCTAAAAAATTCGACACATTTTTTCAAATTACCGTTAGCAATAATATGAAGGATGGGCATAGGATCATAACACACTAGACACAATTACTATCACCAAACTAGCAGATGCCGCGTCGGAAAAACCTTTTTTGGGCATCTTTATCTATGCGTTCTACATGCGTTGCATATGGGTAGGATAAACGGGCCCTTGGTGAATCACTACTGGGCGAATAAATCCTGTTCTATTAACCCAACACACATCTGTTTCTCAAATGAACGTGCTGAACATTCTTCAAAGTCACCGTACGTTAACTTTTATCAGTTACGGACAATATAGGATACTATCCATAACCACTTTACCATAGCTTGTACTTCTTTCCATCACGAAGGTATAACATATTGTTGCACAAATAGACGTACTAAACGATGATAGTTCTGTCTGACCTAATGCTAACCTAGCCGTTAGTTATTACCCTGGACTTCGCGGTGCAGTAGTCACCCATTAGCAGGAAGATAGCGTTCCAGTTGAAGAGCTCCATAATCGTTTACGCAGCACAGCGAGGCAAGCCAGGATATCAATCCCACAGCCACTATGCGAAGAAGGGGGTAAAGGGGCCCTACAAGAGAGCGGTGGTCTGTACAGTGTAGCCTGTTGTTGTTGATGTTTTTGTCTAAATCGTTGTCCTTTTCAGTTGTCTGTTGTTCTTCTCGCTTATCCATAGTTGTTGTTGTCGTCGCCAGCGCAGTACGCCAGAATATTTCCACCCTTAACTATCCCGCATTCGTTGTTCCCAACGAGTCCTCTATTCAAAAACGAAGCAATCCGCCATTTCGCCGATACATCTGAACGAACACGAGCTACTACAGCTCCGCCTATTTCGTGACACACCCAATCCCTGTCTCCTCCCTACGTAGTTTGGCCCCCGGGGAACAGTTAATTCAGGTTACGCTTGATCATTAAGGACACCTGTCAGATAACTCGTTATGGCAAATCACAGCCACAAATTCGCAACTCGTTTAATTGAAAAATCGACTAAGGATGATTGGAAACATAGTCGTAAAAGAAAAGCAAATATTTTATAGTAATAAAT